GAAGCACTCTCAACAAGCTAAGTGGACCTAAAGGCATTCGCAAATCGCCTTCCATCATTGAACTCCCTTTGGAGAACATAAATGGAGATGTTGAGAAGACCTTCGTTGGTCAAAGAACATTTCCTATATCTTCCATACCAAAGGTAATATCAAGGCAGACAGCAAAATGGACAATAGATCAAATGATCCATTTCTATTGAAGAGGAAAATGGTTGATCAGCTATATGAGATGCCAAACAATGGCAAGCGAGTTGGTTTTCAGAAGAAAAAATAAAGATGATAAGCGCGGAACATATACGCATTTATAGAAGTGTGAAGGTGAAAGGACAAAATATGAATTGCCATATACACGCATAGTAACCGAAATTAAATGGCCCAAAGTCTTGCAAAAGAAGATTGGAATACCAAAAGTACATATACGCATTTATAGAAGTGTGAAGGTGAAAAGACAAAATATGAATTGCTATATACACGCATAGTAACCGAAATTAAATGGCCCAAAGTCTTGGAAAAGAAGATTAGAATACCAAAAGTTTTGCTCCGTGTAAACATTCAGTGAAGGGAAATGTACACGAGTTTAGCATAAGGTAATTAAATGCTTGGGATTTGACAATTGAAGAAGACGTCAATTAAATACGCAAATAAATAAAATAGTCGTTCATTAATGACATTAATTGTCGTTGCATTCAAAATTAGTAACAGCTGCTAGTACGAAATTACAAAAGAAAGTAAAGACATCAAAATGTCTTTAATTACAATTATTCCCAAGCCGAATGAATTTGTTCCCTAAGCCTTTCTCAATCCTTGCTCTGCCTAGAGGTGCAACAGTTAATTCGGTTACAACATCGTCATCAACCTCCAGCTTTGTGTAACGCTCAACCAAGGACTTGGTTCGTTCAATTTCTTGGGAAGTATTGTGTTTTCTGGCAGCTATTCTAGCCCTGCAGTCGTTCATATTTGCTTGAAGTTCTTTCATCTCTGCAGCTAAGCTTTTCATCAAAGAATCTTCAATCATAACTTTAGATGAGATTTTGTTCAATTCAACCTCGACTTTATCAATCTCTTGAAGTAAAAACTCTCTTTCAGATGCAGTACGAAGATATTGAGTACTCCTAGCCTTTAGTTCGACATTTTTGGCTAGCAAAGAGATGATTTTAGAATGGATAACCTTCAACGTCGCATTAAAGTCAGATGAAACATTAAGCGATGGAAGTGTAAGTGCTTAAGCCAAGTTTGCACTCAAGAGACTCAAATTTATCCTCTTGTCTAGCAGCACTAGCCTTGCCAATATTCATGTCCATGAAAGAAACATACTCAAACACTGATTGCTTAAGAGTCTTCATATTTTCCTCCGAAAAAGCAGAAGATGAAGCAGAAGGATGATTGGTTGAAGAAGGGCAGAATGTCTTTACTTATCTACAAGAAGTAAACAAGTCCAGGTGGAGCGCACAATGGCAGGTACCCTGTAAGGAAAAATGCAAATATTTAGTATTTTCACTACAGTAAACGAAATGAAAATAAAAAGAAGCAAAAGGCTAACTCATCAACAACTTTGGGAAGTTCAGGCACATCATCGGTTGACTGTGCCACCTGTGGAAATTTCCTTTTGTCTGATGAGTAGACTTTGTAACAACGGGTAGGTCCATGGGAACCTCTGCAGAATTCAAGAAGCAATGAATCGAAAACCAATAGCAAGCAGCAAGGGTAAAAACATCAAAATATGTGTTACCTTTTGGTTCAATGCTTGGAGGGTCAACGCCCTGGGAAGATGGTAGCTCTTCAACTGGTTGTGATGAAGACTCTGGGACTAAGGATTTCTCTTTAAGCAGGGTCCCTTCATGAGATGATTTAGATGAAGCAGCTTCAATAGGAGACGATGGAATAGGTGATGCTAAGACTAGAGCCTTCGAGGGGGAAGCTGAACTCTTCTGAAAAATTCAGGTAAAGTATTAACACATGAAGGATGGTGTTTCATGAATAAACAAACTCAATTACTTTTCTCCTGAGGATGAGATGAGCATCATCATCATCACCTTGCAAAATTGGAGAAGCTGGCCGTTTGTGGCTGCGGACACCTTTGGCTGTAGTAGCCTGGATAGGTAGAGAAGCAGGTGGAAGAGTGGGATGTTTAGCGCGAGTAAGTGGTGATTGAGGAGAAAAAATGAGATTCCTAATAGACACAGGGGTGGCTAGAATGGGAGAAGTAGAAAAAGTATCTGGGTCTATCCAGCAGGTGGAAGGTATGGTTAGTATCAGTTGTGAATAACCTGCGTTTTACAGACGATCGAGTTGGTCAAAAGAGGGTGCGTGACAACAGTAGGATTGAAAGGAGCCAAAGAGAAACATTTGACCAAAAGATTATTGCAGGCATCAATGGTTTGTGCCTCAGTTTTATAGATAGTATAGAAATACTCTGCTAAGTTTCTAGAATAACTAGGAGGAACATGCCACATTTGGCCAAAACTAAGTTGACGAGCAAAAAAGTGGGGAACATATATCTCAACTCCTGTCTTGGCATTTGGTCTTGTGACAATGTCATGGAACAGTTCTCTCCCAACCAAAAATTGATCCCAAATGGGCAAGAAAGTGTTCACTTCAGCTAGAGTAGAAGGAGGCCGTACATTAAGAGGGACTTGGTGAGGAGAAAATGGAAAAAGGAAGGTGTTGAATTCAAATTATAAAAGAATGTAAAAACGTCCCTACTGGACATATTCACAGGGCTCAATTGGTGAATGAATAGCCCATAGCAGCTAACTGTTCGAGGAGGAGATGGTGGAGCACCAAGTTGTGGAAAATAGACTCTCAACCACAACTGAGCAAGCCAAAGAAGCCCAATGCCAGTGGGAGATGCACCATTTTTTAATTGGAATTGGAGAGAGGCCATGCCTCTATAAAAAGCAATTAAAAAGAATGAACACAAATTTAAAGACCTGGCATGCATCAACTCATGTGATAGAGGTAGATAATTGATAGAAGGTTTCAGGCTGGGGACACAAAAAACATATTTACAAAACCAAACCTGAAAAAAGCCATTCGCTCAACATGAGTAGGCTCAGCGTTTGAGGCAGTATAGAAGCCTTGCATGCCCGAATAAGATTCAGTAGGCTTTTTGTCAAACTGAGGGGCAACACTGGAAATCAAAATGTCAGGAGAAATGGAATTGCCTAGAGGCGGAAGATTAACTAGGGCTCCAACATTTCCTTAGAATAATAGACATTGGGCCAGGAGGGAAAACAAAAGTGTTGTACTCTGAAGACCAAAAACTCAGGGTGATTGGAAAAAGCACTGGGTCACAAGTTGGAAGATAAATGGTAATTTCTAATAGGTCCAAAATCTTAGCACGATCAAAAATTGCTTTGGTGGGACCGTGATTCACCATACGTCCATGCCATTTACAAAAACTAGGATCAATTTTTGACCAAGTACGAATACCTTTCTTGCAGATTGGCTTTAATGGCAGGGAGTTCAGAAAAGGAGGGCTTTTAGTGTAAGGGAATAGTTGACCTACCGCCGCCCGTCCAATCGATTCATCATCATTGAATGACGGACCTAGATAGAACTCGTGAAAGTCAAGGTTGGCTTGTGAAAGAAAGTTTGAATTTATATATGGCCTAGTAAGAAGGTTTTTGAAGTCCTCAAAACTGAAGGAACTATCGGAAGGAGTTTGTGAAGTCGCCATTTGATGCAAAGTACAGATGTTGTGAAGGATTCTTGAGAAGCGTAGTGAGCAAACAAGATAATGAACATTGATTTTTATAGAAACGCACGATGTAAAGACGTGAAAGTAATCGCGCGATGAAGTGGCATGCCTTTTGGGTTTATAGGGGTGTACAACGATTACACATTTCCAGGTTATAGAAGGGATACCGCCAAACAGAAATAATGATTGAAATTCTTGAGAATTTCAAGTATTGCCGGAAAAAGGTCTTATATGGCAAATATTAATAATTGATATTAATTCTGCCATATTGACGGGTAATTGTTGACATACAAAAAGTGTAGCCCAAATTGAATAGTCCAAGGAATGAAGCCCAATTAAGAAATTTAGGATAAAGATCCAAATAAGACCATTATGGAATGTAGTGGAGACCCACGACTAAAATACCATCATCGCCCACCTTGCCAGAGTTCGAGCGGCACACCTCATTGGTGTTCACATTTACAGCAGCGCCATGCGAGGGAAAATGATGATTTGTGATGATGCAGTGGTATTAAGTAATTTGTTGATGAAAATAAAGTTTGACCAAATATAATCAATTATACGCTTTTATAAAATAAGAGATTAGATATCTTGCACGTTGAAGAATAAATAAACGGTACAATAATAATAATAATAATAATAATAATAATAATAATTCATATGCATGTTTGGATTTCATTATAATCTCTACACATTTATTATTCATATATTTCGTGGAGCTTTTGATAAAAATTTTACAAATTTTGTTAGAATTTGAAAAAAATGGCATGTTAAAAAGTTAAGAAAAATTACGAATTTCACTAAATGTATTATTAAAATATAATTTTGACTTTATTATTAACCTTTTAGGAAGGCATTTTGAATTAACACTTCGAATGACACCCCTCACCTAGAGAGGCTGCATTTTTTCTATTCGCACGGACGCTTTTATGTGAGGGGTGTTATTGAGATGTCAAATTCGAACGTACAAATAATATTATTGATCAAACAAACACTAATCAAGATTGAATTGGAGTAAAAAACATTTTAATTTTAGGTGGATGTGGAAGGGATAAATGAGGACAAGAAGATAAAAGTCCATCCATAAGACTGATTCCCTTAATCAACACTACAAAAGTGTTGAATTCTACCATTATAAATATAAAAAATTCTACCAATATAAAAATATATACCCACGAGGTGCACACTCCCAATTCATACAGAAACACAAAATCATTTCTTGAATAGCATTCAACCGATTGAATTGGTGAAGCAAATTTTCAGTCAACGTGTTCAGCTTCTGTGATTGACACAGTATCCCATGGCTTCTTCCAATTTTATATGCAGTCACCAAATCTACAGTTCCTGCAATGGCAAAACCCACTTCAATTCTTTCAAGAAAGCTAGTTTTTCGATACCTTCTTCGTACAAATTTCAACACGCTTCTTGTTTTGAAAGAGGGTTCCGATATTCAAGAATCAGAGCGACGGCTTCTGATTCAAAAACTGGCAAAAAACAAGTGGAGGTATCAATTTTCTGCTTATTTTTGTGGCCTGCTTATAGTTTTATATGAAGATTTATACTTTTTTTTTCCTTCTAAAATTTAATGTTTGGGATGTGGTGATTAGGTAGTTTATGATCTTGAGGATAAGTTTAGTCAGTTAGCTGATGAAGTGGATAAGAATACTGGGATGTTATGTTCAATTTTCTGCTTGTTGCTGTATGGAGAGATTCTAATTTTTCTACTTGTTTTGAATCTATACATCCTTTTTCTTAAGAAGTTGAATTTGTACCTAAAATTGAATGTGAATTTTGATGTTTGTGCTGGGGTGGTTAGGTAGTGTATGATCTTGCGGACAAGTTTGATAAAGAATGGTGGGAATCCGAGCTATCCATTTTTATGTTCATCTTCTTCCCATCAGTGAATAGAAGGAATCTATATTATGGTCAATTTCATGCTTATTATCGAGTCTGAACTTTTATTTAATGTTTTTCGATAAGTCCGTGGTTATTACAAAGTTAAATTTCTGCTTATCATTGAAGGTGAAGTTTCAATTCTTTTAGTATATGCAATCTTGAGGATAAGTTTTTTAAATCAGCCGATGAAGTGGATAAGCATAATGGGATTTCGAGGCTCACTCTTTTTTCATTGTGTACAGTTTTTCTGCTTATGATTGAATGGAAAGATTCTATCATATTATTGAATGATAAAGTTTGTGGTTCATTTAAAGTTGTATTTCTACCTGTAACTGAAGGTGAAGATTTTTGAACTTTTTTGTTTGTGAATTTGGTGTTTGTGATGGGTGACTAGGTAGTGTATGATCTCGAGGACAAGTTCAGCAAATTAGCCGATGAAGTGGATAAGAATTCTGGGATGTCAAGACTCACTCTTTTTTCTCCTTGCAAGGTACGGTAATTAACTATAATATCACACTACGCCGTTTGTATGTATTTTCTCAAACTTTGAAAATTTGATGTATTTCAAGTGCAGATTAATGTATTCTTGAGAATAACAGGCAAGAGGGAAGACGGATATCATGATTTGGCGTCACTCTTTCATGTAAATACCTATAATTTATTAAAAAAGTTTTTGCTGGCACTTTTCGGAATTTTAATTAGTTAACTCTCTTGTTCTTTCAGGTAATTAGTCTAGGAGATAAAATAAAGTTCTCTTTATCCCCGTCAAAATCGAGCGATCGTTTATCAACGAATGTTCCTGGAGTTCCCCTTGATGATCGAAATCTGGTAAAGATAGGAGCATTTTTCCATTTCCAATTCTTTTTCTCTATGGTAGTTATTTAATTTATATATTTATTTCAGATAATAAAAGCCCTCAATCTTTTTAGGAAAAAGACAGGGACTGACAACTACTTTTGGGTAACGTCTTTGATTTTCAGAGATAAATATCAATATTTTTCACATCTTAGTTGGAGTACTAGTTTGATTCTTTTCTCGACTAATTTCCATGGGCAGATTCATCTTGACAAGAAGGTGCCAACTGGGGCAGGGCTTGGTGGTGGTAGTAGTAATGCCGCCACAGCTTTGTGGGCAGCAAATCAGTTTAGCGGCGGTGTTGCCACTGAAAAGGAACTCCAAGAATGGTCAGGCGAAATTGGTTCGGATATCCCATTCTTTTTTTCTCACGGAGCGGCCTACTGTACGGGTCGAGGTGAGGTATGTCTTTTACATGTATGGTGCTCACAGTCGGACCTTGTCTTTCAGCTTTCTTATAGTGCATGTTTGGTTAAACTAAATAACTTTTCTGCAAGTCAAAGCTCGAAATTAATTTGGTTTGGAATTGATATGAAGTGATATAGTAAAGTATTGTGTTTTTCGTGTTAATTGGTTCAGATTGTTGAAGACATTCTGAAGCCTCTACCCTTCGACGTTCCATTGGTTCTCATAAAGCCTCAAGAGGCATGTTCCACAGCTGAAGTATACAAGGCAATAGATTTTAAAGTTAACGGACAATTTTAAATTGAGTCTAGAGTCAAATTCTTTTGATAATTAGTTTTGATTTCTCAGCGTCTTACCTTGGATCGAACAAGCACAGTGGATCCTTTGACCCTGCTAGAGAAGATATCAAGAAGCGGAATATCTCAAGATGTTTGCATCAATGATCTAGGTATGAAAAACGCAAACCACTCTTTACATGAACGAATTTGTTTTACCACATAAAATAGATGGGGATGATTTTTTTAGCATCGATCTTTTTTTATTAATCATACATTTATCCATGTTGCAGAACCTCCTGCTTTTGAAGTACTTCCTTCACTAAAAAGATTAAAACAGCGCTTAATAGCCGCAGGTCGAGGACAATATGACTCCGTTTTCATGTCTGGGAGGTACATTTCACTACCATTTTTGAGTATCTGAGAATTCAGTTTTTATGCTTTTTAAGTTAGTAGGCAGGACAATATAATTAATAAGATTTTAGCTTATTTTTCTTTTTAGTATTGCTGTATATTTCTCTCTTCGAAATATGTCATGCTGTTGAGTTCTTGCATCTTTTATCTTAGTCCGATAAAATTATCAAAGAAATTAGTATCTGAATTATGCATAAATTTTAATATAACTTTGCATTTTCGTCCATGATTATAATGTAGAATGTTTTTTCATATTATGATGCAGCGGAAGCACTATAGTCGGGGTGGGTTCTCCAGACCCCCCTCAATTTATCTATGATGATGACGAGTATAAAGACGTGTTCTTATCAGGTAAATCTCAAATTACACTCGTGCGATCAAATTCAGTGTCCGTTTTCCATTGATGTGTCTGGGTGTAACACAAGTTCTCGATGTTCGTTACGGTGAGTAGATTTGTAACTGGGTTTAATCCACTTATATTGGGTTAGTCTACTTATAGAGTTTGGCAAGGAGATCGGATCGAATTGCTTCTTGAAACTTAATGAGTTCTGATATCATATTAAGACTTGGAGGTCTATCTCAAAAGATCAATCTTATTAAGAAGAGTAGGTGCCTAAATCTTTATAAATTAGTTTATATTTTTTCATCTTTATTCGATGTGAGATTTTATCTCTTAACAATCTAGCCCTTAAGTTTAGTCTGGTTGAATACCACATGCCAAACATGAACAAAGTCCTTAGGTGTGGTCTAGCCATTACAGGTTTTACGATAGTTGAAACAACTGCATTCAGTATTCAAATTGGATCTTTTATGTTTGTCGATTGATACTAGAATTGCTTTACCACTTGTTTGCTCCTAGTTGCTTTCTTTGACATTTTTAGTACATTATGAATGCAGAAGCCAGCTTCATCACTCGTGCAGAAAATCAATGGTATACGGAAGTTTCTATGGATGCTGCTTCATCGCCAATGGAATTTTCAGTATAGTCTATCTTCTTTGCAATGCATCAAACTGTTGTACTCTTTTTCCAATCATCTTAAATTTATATTCCAAAATCTTTTCTTTTTCCTTCTAAAGATTGTAGTTTCTATGGATGCTGCTTCATCGCCAATGGAGTTTTCAGTATAGTCTAGCTTCTTTGTAATGCATCAAACTGTTGTACTCTTTTGTCAATCATCTTGAATTTATATTCCAAAATCTTTTCTTTTTCCTTCTTAAGATTGTAGTTTTTCAGTTGTCCACCTTAAAAGAGATCAATGTAGCAATGTCCCCATTTATACATTGGAAGATTGGGTGGATGATAAAATAAAAATTTTGGGCCGCAGAGTGGCGATGAAGAAATACAGATTCTTGATTCAGTTCTCCATCTTAATGACAAAAAAGGATTTGACTTTTTGTTGTCTATTTGTACATGTGAAGGGTTCCGAGTTAAATATATTCCTGCATATAAGAATGGATCGATTTTGGTAAAGCAAGTTGAAAAGGGTAAGGTAGACCAAAATTAACATAGACTTGGTAGAATCAAGATCTAACCCGAATCATCAGGTTCCCGATTATTAAACAAGAATTCAGTTAAATTTTAACCGGTCGGTTTGGATGATCTCCCCATTCAAATGGATAGCACCACAATTGCTTTGGTAATGGCAAGTCGAAAACCGATTGAAGAACTCGAATCAAATAAAGAGAGCAACAAAGTGAACAGCAAAACAAATGGATTTTGATGCTTTTTCCACCAAGGTTGATGTAACAACAATAGGGTAAAAAACATCATGTGAATCAATACTAAACATTCAAGCACATTTTTGGTCTTCTTGTCATTCTTATTTATTCTTTCAACTCCTCTCCATTCATCTTACAGAGAAGGTGAGGAAACAAACTGTCTGGGTAAACTGAAAAGGTCTTTCTCTTCGAATGGAGAAGTCCATTCCCGAGAACCACCAACTGCCGTTTCTGTAGGTTTCCCGTCCTTCAATCCTGGAATCTGAATACCACTCCCATTCGACAGAACAGGTCTCATAGCAGATTTCACCCCATATGTAAATGAATTGTGTGGACGAGTATTGTTTTGCATCAAGGAGTTAACCCCGGACCACAACCCCCCAGTCCCCAGTGTAGACGACCCACGATCCAAACTCCAGTCTATGTTGGTGTAATCTAACTGCGACATCGAGCTGCCCATTTTCCAGTCTACAGGAGATGTAGACCCAGATGTGACAGTGGTGCCCAGTCCCGAGAACAGTCCAAGGGATGAAGCGGCAAGTGTTGGTGATGTACCTGCTCGGCTCCACAAACCGATTCCTCGGTTTGTACCTTGGGAATCTATTGAGCTACTGCTTGACACGAACTGCTGCTGAGGTTGGTAATGGAGCTGGTTATACAACGGATTTGAACCACCACCATTTGGGCTCATGCCTCTTGTGATAGTGACAGGTGGCACAAATCCATTGCGCTTCACATTTTCGACACCATTAGGATACCAACCAACAGCTGTCCCAGTAGGAGATGTTGATGCAGGTGCCTGCTTCACGTTGATGGATTGGGGCCGCTGCATCATTATGACGGGTTCTCTCACTGATCCAAGCTGCAGGTTCTTGAATTCATTTCCAATGGACACATAACGAGCTTCTGTCTTGGCTGGTGGAAGCGAAGCCTGTGAATGTGAAGCTAACGAGTATGAAACAGGAGGACTTGATCCTGAACCTGGCCACCTTTTCTCAGCTGGCACAACAATCTGCTGTGGCTTGGCCCAATCCAATCTTGATTGTATTTTCCTTATCTGTTGCGTACTTTTGATTCCTGGATCTACTGAAGACCCTATAGTAGCTGGAACTTTGGTATAGTTGAAATCTTTTTCATCCATTCCATGTTGTAGGGTAGTAGATACGGTAGGCTTTGGTTGCAGTCCTGTTGCACTCTGGCTAGCAGCTATTTGTAGATTACTATTGACTACAGTAGGAAGATCGCTAATTTCTTCTGGCTTTGGAAAGGCAGAGGGGTCCTGCTTCTGAGCCTTCAACGTTTCTTCCGCCTTCTCAAGATTGCCCTCACATGCAACTACAGCTCGTTCAACCTCCTGTTTAGAGGCCTTATACCTAATTCCCATGTCAGTAATACAAGCAAGCTCTTCAGATATGTCAATTTTCAAATTACCCCCACTGTCAAGATTATGTTCGGCGTGCTTCTCTTCTTCGCCTCCTTCCAACAGCCAAGCTACTGACTCCTCTACTCTCCCTTCATTCAGCATAAGAGCAATTGTTGCCCGTTCTTGAGAGAAACCCATAGCCACGAGTTGTTGAGCAAGTGATTCTAGTTTCCTCGACATAAGATAGCCAACGCACCGATCATGCAGTTCTTGAGCTCGCCTTTCCTTTTGTCGCTGATGTTTCTTCTCGTTCTTCTGCCTAATTTTTTCTCTTTTATCATTGTCAGCTCCAGGTACTGACTCCTGATATGGAGGGGGATGAAGCATTTTTTCTTTATGTTCCTCTGACTCACCAGACCAGCTACCATTATTTGAAACAGAATCATACTCAGTGCTTGTTGCAATTGAATTCCCACTATGATCATCCGTCTCATCTATGTTTCGGAAACGACCATTCACCTGATGCAGACCAGCAGAAGACACTGGTACAGCCTCAATCGTGTGGAATGTTCCCAAAACCGGATTGTAACCACTCGCTGAAACCCCACCATTAGCGTTAACAATACCTGAAGGCTTTGAAGAGCCCTTGGGAGGTTCCTTGTTAGCCTTTTTGTCCTTGGACTTAGATCTGGATGCTGGAGCCATTCCAATATATTCAAGTTATAATTCCTGCAATGTCAGTGGATTAGATTTATGTTAGCTAAGGAGACGAGCAAACTCATCTATATAAAGACAAACTGTATGAGGGGTTAAATAAGAGCACATCCTGTTACATGACCAGAAAATGGCACCATTTTCTAATGGAAAATATACAGGTAACTCACAAATAATATTTTTAAGAGCATTCAGGAGAAGAAAGAAATCAGGCTGAAGAAGAAAGGGTCAAAAAATAAATAAATACTGAAGAGAATATTCGAGATGAAAGTAACGATTTAATCTAGCTTTTGAAACTTTTTAATCATCATAATAACAAAAACAATAAACATAAATAAAAAATTGAAATCCCTTGAAAGCGAAGGAAAAAAATTCAAAACTGCAATGCGCCCGTCTCCATTTACACTTCCTCTTGCATGACCAGAAATTGGCACCATTTTCTAATGGAAAATATACAGGTGAATCAAAAAAATATTTTTAGGAGTATTCAGGAGAAGAAAGTAAGAAATCAGACTGAAGACGAAATGGTCAAAAACTAAATATATACTGAAGAAAATATTCGAGATGAAAGTAAGGATTTAATCTACATTTTGAAACTTTTTAATCATCATGAATAACGAAAATAATAAACATAAATAAAAAACTGAAATCCCTTGAACACAAAGGAAAAAAAATTCAAAACTGCAATGAGCCCTTCTCCATTTACACTGTCCATGATTGGCTCCCCTACAAATGACTTTCTCAAAATCCCTTGTGTTCTAGACCAAAAATATTATGACCTGAAAATCTTTTACCTAGACTAAGTAAATGAAAACATATAAGACTCAACAGTTCCTATTGCCCAACCTCCTATAGCCTTTTGCCCCTTTAAACTTCAAGCAAGTTCCTCAGCCTGCAGACTACAACCCCATTAACTATAGATGCTAGAAAACCATGCACGTGTCATTAATTCCACTCCCTAGATAAGGATGTGTTTGATGGATATTAATAAGGAAAGAATATATTTTAAATAGTGATATGACGGGAAATATATGGTTAAAAAGTAAGGAAAAGTTATTGATGTGATGGAAAATATTATTTTATTGAAGAATGTGTGGCTGAAAATGAGTTTTGGAAGAATGTATTTTGAAAGAATGTTTACCAAACAAGAGCTAAATAACATGAGCCATTAGGCCCCTTACCTACAAGGCCAACAAAAAAAAAAAAGGCCGCTAATATAACTACCATTTTATTACCCCCTAGCAGACTAGTTCCTTTTCTTTGATGCACGAAAACAGACACGTGTGTCATGTTTGACACTAAGATAAAGACATGACAACACATGATTTTTCAAAAAAGCATGACACGGACACGTCGTGGACACATTAATTCAAAATTATCTACAATTGTAGATTTATAAATTATGTCATTATTTTTATACTTTTTTTAGTTTTGACTTTTGTTCGTAAAATCTTTTAATTGGATGAGTAGCTAATATTATGTTGAAATAGCCTTGAGTTAAACGATATGTTACTAATGACGGGAAGGAAAAATGCATATAATACATGCCTTTTCAGTGTCTATGGAGTCTCAGTGACCGACACGTATTGAACACAGACGCACCACAAGTTTCCATGTTCATGGCTTTTAATCACTGCTGAACCATAGACACTTCAAAAAATATAACTTCCAAACCAGAATCATTTTCCTTAGTCAAATTTACAAACTGTGTTCCCTTCTTATGACATGGAAGAAAAGCTCTAGCGTAAATCCTTTTCCATTGCCCATCCATTTGTAGAGCCTTTTCATCTAAGTTGATTACATTACCCCCATTTATCGTAACTGCTAGTCCTCCAACCCACAGAGCTGTGAGAAAGAAAAGGAAATGGCCCTTCCTGGTGCAGCCTATCAAATTTAAACTACTAGCTTTCCAATGTAACAATACATATGCACACCTCTAATCAATTCCACGGCCAACTCCTAGATCCACGTATGAAAATAGAAATCATAACAACATAAAATCTAATTAAGATATGCCCATTTGTCTTCCAATTCAATTTTCAGCCCCAAAAAGGGATAAAAACCTATATACTAACACGCAAAAGCAGGTACATAAGAAATGAAATGAACGTAAAAATCTTCATATTATGTATAATTTCTCTTTTTCTACACGTAAACATAAGCAGATCGAATCTAACTATCCATGTCCCAAAGCACACAAAAACAAAAAGGCAAAAAAGCACATACAGATCAGTTAATCCAACCAAATTTACATGAAAATCATATTCGAAAGGCTAAAACCAACATGAAACAAATAAAACACACTCAACAAAACAATTCACCTCCCCTGCCCATCCAAATCCTAGCCGCATATCGATATCAATTAAAAAATTAAAGAGGGATTCAGCATCACCTGTAGCGTTCGATCGAAAAACAAATCGAACAACGACGTTTAGTAATTATTATCACCGGATGGAGAACTGAATTTGGTTTTAGAGAGAGAAAGGTAGAAGTTTCTGGAGAGAAAATGAGGAATGATATAAGGGTAGAGAGAGGAGAGAGATAGGTAATGCGAGGCTGAAAAACGAAACTGAATCGACGGCGATTAGGGTTTTTTAATTTTTCTGAATTTTTAATTTCTTTTTATATTTGGGAATAGTATATTTATTTACATAATAAAATATAAAAAACTAAAAATAGTAAAAATGGTCGGGTAATAACGGCAGGGCCAACCGGCCGGAGAAGGATGATAAAGTAACAAATATTGAAATGATAAGGAAATATAAGATGGAGAGAAAAAGGTTACAACTTTTATTTTGTGTACTTCATCTAATCTTGTTTAATATTGTCTGAGTTGGTTGTACATGGTTTACAGAATTGTATACACTTTTTTTGTGGCCTCGTAACTCTGTTTAGATATTCGGTGAGGATACATGGTACACGATCTGTATTAGCACATAACAATAACTTTTAGATTTCGAGGTGTTTGATATAAGTATAATTGGGTGTTGAATTACATTTTGTATGTGTAAATGTGTTGTTTGTAATTGTAAACATGAGATTCTGAAATTATACTGTATCTGATGCTTATCAATTTCGCAGATGGCCAGAATAGAGTCTTCAAGCAAAGCGATGACCTGAAAATGGAGCTGGGAACTTAGTTCGAAGTCTCACCTTGTCAAATAATTAGTAGTTATAAAAACATGTATAAAAAATTATAAAAAGTGAATCGAGAGTATTAACGGAAATTCAAACACTTCATTACTAGGGCAAGGTTGCTATCTATAATATTTTCTATGATTGGGATGTCGCGACTTGATTATGTATGGTTATATTTTTTGAAATTTCAGCACGAAATCTGGGAGATTAAATGTCTTCTTACCGACAAAACATGCAATCATGTGATAGGTCGAGAAATTTAACCCTACTATTCATGATTGCAATGATATAATGGTAAGTGTAATACTATTTAACCACACTGAGATTATAACCACAGTTCATACGGTGTTAGGTGATATTCTAATACTATAATAGCGCCATATAAATTGGGGTTATAACCCAAGTGAAACTAAATAACATTATTCTAATGGTAAATATAAAAAAATTCCCTCCATTTCAACAAGTACGAACCGCTAACCAACTCGTGAGGCAATCATAAATATCTATTCACGCCAGTGCTTCTATTCAGAATTGAGAAATTGATGATCATCCCTTTTATTATCAAGGTCGCGTGTATGAATCACTCAATGATCCAACTCGCTCAAACTAGTCGAGTTGTCTTGGTCTTCAAGGTAGAATGGCAAAATCGTTGACCGACTCGACTAGCCTATTCTACAAAATGATCGTAATTCCAACTCTCCCAAACAAGCACAAAAACCCAACATCTACGTATACAACTGTTTTGTTTAAGAATTTTTAGTCTTAAAGAAAATTTGAAACGACATTCTCGATCAAATATAATACAGTAATAAAATCATCAGTTCCCCTAGTTCCCATTAGTTAGGGGCTTTTGTTTTCAAGAATGTCATGGTTGGTACCTCTTCTCCTTAACCTACTCGAAAAAAAATAAAATAAAATCGACAAAGACAATTGTTGACGGAATGATAATAAATCAATGTATTTAATTCAGGGAACTAGCTTTATTTTTTGGATTTTAAAGTTATTAAACTGTTAAATACTTAGCATGATAGTAATGAGCGACTTTCATCCAAAATGGTAGAAATTTCTTCCTTTATTTCGATTCAACACACAAAAAGGAAAAAGTCTCCTTCGGCGGCAAGGTGAAGTGGGTATAGAATAGCGAAAGGTCGAATGGAGGGCACAATCATGGTGGAAAGGAGAGAGTGGGAGAACTCGCGTAGTCTAATTGAATTAGCATAAAACTATATTATTCTCTATACATTATGACGACACTGCATGTTGTCATACCATAGAAAAAATCGTGTCTTCTTATGAAGAAATTGCCAATCATGCGAATGAAAGGTTGACTAATAAGACAGCGAGGAAGAATAAGACCGTTTGATTTTGCACCAAACCCTAGTCCTGAAATGAAGCATGAAGATATACCAGGTTGGTATCTTGATGACATGCAAAGGATAGTCGATGATCCTATTCAATTTGCTAATTAAAATGAGACGATAGATGAGGAAGACGAAGATTATGACGAAGAATAAGAGTGTTATATGTATACGTATGTACATTCTTTTTAATCATTCTTGGGTTAGATGTTGATATATGTTGTTGAAACGGCTGGTAGGAGATAATGATTGTACGAAGAACAAATTTGAGCAGTATATCCAACATCGAAGTTCTTGGAGATAAATTTGGACTCAGGTCATTTGAGTTACTAATTTACTTTAATTTAAGCATGCTTGCGTAAGCATAAAAATTCTACTTATATGTAATTTTTACTTTTTCTAAACTTAGCCAAACAAGCTCGTAAAAAGAAGAAGGAAAAAAAAAAAAAAAAACTCTAATACCGATAGCATTCGGTCAGTGTAACCTAAATTGAGTTGATTGCTCAATCGTGACCAACCAAAATCTTCTAAGACCCCGTCTAATGGGCTGGAGCCCAATTTTATATGGGATCCAACCAAGTATAGCAATTGGAATAAAATTAAATGAGAAAAATAGACGTGAAATGAAAAAAAAGAAATTAAATATTGAAATTCAAGAAAAAAAATTATTTTGGGTCCCATACATTTTTTCCAAATAAAATACCACATTATTTCAAAGTGATCCCAACAAAAGTTTGACAATTTTTTCAACAGCACGCCCAGATGATAAAATTCGCGGGATAGAATCAGAAGAAGAAGATCTACTGCTTGACTTCTGCCACCGACAACATATGTTTGCCATCATAATTTTTAACCTCTCTTTGATTTGGAAGGGACATTCAATGTCAGCATAACGTATGCTTAGTTACAAAATGTGATTTAGGATCTAATTTTAGAAGATAGTATTAATAAATATAATTTACATATTACATGGCATAGTTAATATATTTATCATAATCTAGTAAAAAGTGAATTCTTTTTTGAAATCTGCTGAGTGTACAGAAAAAAAAAAATACATGCAGTTTACAGAATAGACACAATAAGTGGGGCCCATGTGAGAATCTGTAATTTTTCTATACAAATTTTTTCTTAGTAGGGCAATTACGATTTTTTTCCCAAAACAAATTAACTTAATGGGCCTTTTGCTTTTCAGCAATGGGCCTGTGAAGATGTCGTTTTTTTTTTTATTTAGGATATGTTTGATTGCGAGCATGAAATTTGTATAGAAAGAAAATAAATTCTAAGGAATTTAATTATCTAGAATTTATTTGTATGAAAATTATTAGTTAATTATGTTTGATTGATTTAGTTTGTAAATTAGAAAATATTATACTTGTCCAATTTTTTTAGTAGCAGATAAGATAGAAGAGATAGACGAGAGAGTGAATTATGTAGAAAATAAAAACTACATCTCCCTAAAGAAAATATTTTCCATGGAAAAATTTGTTAATCAAATGGTACAAAAGTAGGAAATTAAATAGAAAAACATATTTTTCATGGAAAATATTGGCAATTAAACGCACCCTTAAAAAAAGTTAACCCATAAAATCGACGCTGGGTGAATCAGTTTTACGGTTGGGCTTGATATTCGTCCAGGTTTTCCCAATTTATAGTCAAAGAGGTTTTTAGAATTAATTGAACCAGATTGTACCTTGGTTCCTGAATTTTTCAGTTGAACATTGGTTTTACACGTGGTGTTGTCTGTTTTCATTGCAGCTTTGATCTCATCACTTGTAATATTTGTTGTTACTTTGTTGTCGTTGTCATCGCTTGCAATATTCGATGTTACTCAATCACAATTACTACACACATCTTCCTCGTTAATATCGATCATCAACACCGCCACATTGGATACGAGTTTAGATATTAAAAGTTTCATCATGAACACTGACTATTGTCACCATCACATTTGATACAAGTTCTGATCTAAAACATTTCAGCACCAACACCGACTATCACTACAACAAAAAGAATATACTTTCAAGGACCCTAAAATGGGCAAAACCAACGTTGTCAGCTACGTGGTGGTGTCACAAGTGAAGTTTTCCAACATCAACAAAGAGAATGGTGGCAAGAGAAATGGAACTCGATGATGGAGACATGGTGGAGCTAAGAGATGTCGAACCTTAGGGATGAGAATTCGAACTGTTAAAATAGAAAAATAACCGAACCGAATGTGGCGAAAAAAATCGAACAAATGGTGCAATGGAGTGGTTATGGTTTTGATTTTAATGACCCGGTTCGGGGTGTGGTGGGTATGGTATTTAGGGATGGTGCCTCGCTCCGAACCGATTACCCGTTAAAAAAAATTAATTGGACAATTGGGCTTTCCAGTTTCCATTATTCTTTTCCAAAATTAATTGATCAATTTTGACAATTGGGTTTCCCCAAAATTCGGGCCCAATTAACATTACTAGTAAAAGCTTAATTCAGTAACATAACTCTAACCCTACATGTTAAAATAGAAAATTGGAAACCAAACTTACAAAACATTCGTCCACTCAACCAATGAACCAAATCTGATCCGTCGGCACTCTACTGCATGTTCCTCAACTTCAAATTGTAGTAATTAACAACGAAGTCTACCACATTATTTTATATTTGTTATTCATGAACTTTCTTTTATTGCTAATTTTTTTAGGACATTGACGAAGATGTACATTTTTTTGTTTAAATCTTCAGTTAAGATCATTATTTATTATGTAGTATGTTTGTATTATTACTCTAATTACATTTCTTATTTACTATATAGGAATCAACTTTAAGTCTTGACCTATGCTAGTAAGAGTTGTGAGGAAGAATGAAGATTTACATATGCTAGTAAGAGTCTTGACCTATGTTGATAATATTGTTTGTTAAATTCGAATTTTACATTTGGAAGTTGAGATATTGTTTGCATTTTCATTTGAGATACTATTTGTTAAATTGACTTAGTATTGTGCTTTTATTTTTATTGGCTTTTCTTCATAATTTTTTTCCCAATTTGACGGTTGAAATTTGGACTTATAAAAAATAATTTATTTTCGTGGTTGTTAACCGAACCGAACCAAGATACGAATCGAATCGAGCCGAACCAAACCGGCTTACGTGGTTATGGTGCGGTTATGATATAACTAAAAATTTGGTAGTGCGATTATGATTTTAACCGAACCGAACCGAACTGTTGTCATCCCTATCGGACCTTCAATTGGCAGCATCGAACACCAAAAGGGATATGACTTTGCGAAATATATGATGAGCGACTCTAAAAGGGATACAACTTTGCGAAATATGTGGTGGTACACGCTGGTCAATCAGCGAGGGGTTGGGATTGGGATTGGGATTGGGATTGGAAAGTCGATCCAATTTTAGGTTTAGAAGATGATATCGGCGGTTGTGATGATTTTAGTGAATGTTGGTCAATATATTTTAGGATTTGAATAAAAATAAGTAATTGGGTATTAAATACATTATTTTAAAAATAAAATGAATGTACAATAGACTTTGAAATTACGAACAGAGTGAAGTCCCTAGTGCAATTATCCCATCTTTACATCGGGATATGATGATCATGTTATTTTTTCTCTTATAAATAAAAAGTAAATATTATTTTTAAGTGAGGATTACTTTCAAAATAACTCATGTACACACACTAACTTTCAATCAATAAAATTTTATTTATTTTTAAACATATTTATAACCTATAACGAGCAAAATATGACCATAGCATATATTCCCATTTGAAAACTAGTAGAATGGGCATTTTTATTCCGAGCCATTTGACTCTAATCAAAATCAAAATGAACCAATGTGTTCAGTCGGATTTCAATTAACATCTATGTACTATTGAGTTTAAGGTCGAGAAACAAAATAATTTTGGTCCTATTCTCGAATTTACGTGCATAATCAAATTTTGATTTGATTCTAAAATAGAGTTTTGTATAGTCTCTAGATTATCTAGGGTACTCTCAAATACAACAGACATCCTCTTTCACTTGATTAGGATAAGATTTTCACATTTCCCATTATGAGAATTCAGTTGCTGACTCTCTTGCCACTGCAAACAAGAAACAATGTCATGACTAGGAGCATGGACCACTAGATCTTCTTCATCGATTATGTTCTCTGATATAGATTGAAAGACATGATATCCCTAGAGTTGTGGTCTCTAGTCTACTTTTACTATTCTTATTTTGTATGGAAGATGGTACATCCTCATTTGTTGTTTTGAAAGTCAGATTTACACTCCCTCCCATGTATTCTTGTGAGTTCTATATATCTTCTGGAGCATTCTAATCCCATCGACCTTATTAATGAAGCCTAAAAATGAGCCGGAGAGTTGCCTTAAAAAAAACATTAATGCTGGTCAGCCAGGGTCAGTGACCTACCAGAATCCAGGGGGCATCAACTCAGCCCCTGATTTAAAAAAGAAGGGCTCTACATGAATTCAAATCAAGGACCGAGGTGGATGAATCCAAATCAAGGACCTTGGTTTTGGCCCTGGATGAGTAGCATTGCTCTAAAAAAATAGCGTTTATGTGAGATTCTATAGACTATAGATTCTAGAAACTATGGTGATTAAGAAAAAAATTAATAATAAGAAATTTAGCTCCTGTTTGGTACACATTAAAATTTTTATTTTCATTCTTCTACTCATTTTTAACCGCATATTCTTTAATAAAATAATATTTTCCATCACATCAATAACTTTTCATTCTCTTTTAACCAAACATTCTCTATCAATCTATTATTTCAAAATACATTCTTCTAAATTAACTTGACTCAAACACACCCAAGAATAACAACAACCTAGGACTCCAAAATTATCAATAAAAATCTTTCTACATCCATCACATGTAGTGAATTAACCATACAAATTTTAAGCATGGCCCACATTTAATCATGAAAATATTCAAACATAATCCCCCTCCTTGTTCACCATAATTACCATCACTACCCTCCAACCCCTAAGCGAATCACAACGCTCCTTTTCCTCGATTCGACAAAAAAGGTCAAAAGTTTCGTCCGATTCACTATACTACCCCGTGACTGCACAGTCTCCTTAGGGTACACGCTAACACTCCACACAAACACAGGCGGCGCGTCGAATCACTGCCGGCGAGTCCGCCGCTCTACTCCAATCCCCGGCGGCGCAGTCGTATACCAACACCAGTCCTTCCTTTAATCCCCTCTCGCTCCGCCCACTCCTCCTTAGTAAGTCATCTATGCAACCCACTACTTGTATAAGCACCACTGTGTTCCCCACCCCGACGCAGCTGAACCCGACCGTGCTATCCAGTCTCACCTGCGCTGGCAGCGGAGGAGGCTTAATCCTCCGCCACTCCCCAAACTCACCGGATTTTCTGGACCCGTTGAATTTCCAGAACGAAAGCTCCACCGCATGGCTTGATAGGATGTATAGATGCCCGTTTGCCGCGCAGGCCGCCACCACGCAGCCGCCGCCGGGAACTGCTCTGCTCCTCAACCACCCACGCGCCTCGACGTCGTATAAATCCATTGAGCTCGCGTAAACATGGGCCGCCTCGTTCCCCGCCACGCCAATCTTTAACCCTCCAATTACATAAAACACACCATCAACGGCAGCTCCAATGCACCCGTATCTCCTCCTCGGTGCATGGGACACCACGCGCCACTCATTCTCGTCTGGGTCGTATTCCTCCACCGCTTCCGACCGGGCTGAGCCACAAGCAACATAGATTTTCCCAGCCACCTCTGCAGCGGCGAATTTCTTCCTCGGAAAACCCATCCCTGCCTTGGGGACCAAAGTGCCAGTCCACGTGTCACACCGAAGCATCGCCGTTCGGCCAATTATGTATATTTTCCGACCAATTGAAACCAATCTGTAGTGTGAAAACAAAGAGAAAACAGATCCATTTTCTAAATGTAAAGAAGGACTCGAAGGGATAAAGGTGGATACTTTCCAAGTGGGTAATTCAAACTGGTGGCTCATGCGGAGGCTGGCGGCGAAAAGGGCGGACCGGGAAATGCAAATGGAGAAGATAGTATTGAATAACAGATTGTGGTGGTGGCGCAAGTGGTGGAAGGAGGGGGAATTGATGAGGTGAGCCCAACGGCGGCAGACGAAAGCGAGGGAAAGGAGGGAAGATTGATCAACTCTACAGAGACATTCTAAGAGAAGGTCATCTGGGAGAGCAGAGATAGTGGTGGCGGAGGCAGCGGCGGAGATGGGGGAGGGTTGGTGGTGGTTTTGTTGGTTGGGGAAACAAGATTTCATGAGCCATGAAAAGTGTCGAGAGTTGCAGGTGTTGTCTGATGACATGAGGGAATTGTGAGGGATTTTTGAAGATTAGCGAGGGGCTTAAAGCCATTATCAGCTAGGCCAGCAAAAACAAAGACAGAATGTGGCTACTTAAGGCCATGTTTGGTTAAATATAATAAGTGAATAAAAGTCACTTTTAATGATATTTTTATTTATAATATATATGTTTTAAAAAATATTTCGAGACATCTTGCCAACTACTTATACCTTGCAACGAAAAATTATTCAGATGGGTGGTTTGAGCTCACGATGTAATGAGGAAGTTGCAACCATCTTTCACGCTTAAATCAAACATGGCATGGTTGCAGCAATTTGGCATAGTAGCCCGTTTATAGAGTTGGTTCGGACCTATGTGAAAAACATCACTAGGGAGGGGTTGCCTTTTAGCTTATTCTCAAACCAAGAGGAAGGCAAGGCAAGGCAAGGCTTGACTCCGTTGAGCTCTTCGCTTGGCTCATTACGTTTGTTGTTATCCGCCCTATGAGAGAAATATACTCTAGTTTTTAGATCGAGCAATTTAAAGGTCAAAGTGAGGTTAGACTGCTGCAATGTGCGATGTCTCTATTGATAATTGGGCTTCTTTTGCCCAACAATCTATTTTACTACTGACTAACCAATTGAGAGGATATGATCTATTATTAGAAAAGTTGCATGGTTTTATCAAATGATGAAATGGAACCCTTCATCAGCAAACATAGCTTGACTTGGTTACCTCAATATAGGATTCAGATTGTAGCAATGCAGTGGAACCAGTGCACATACCTAGCTATCATGTGCTAGAAGGTGGGAAAGTAAACGTACATTTAGAGGTTGTTGGGCTCTTTTGAGTTCTACTGCAAGTCAATCGCACATGAAGCAAGTGAAGTTTCTCACACCCCTGGCATTATTAATATTTCTCCAAAATAGCATATTGATGGATAGGCCCTCAGGTTGTACTTGTACTGAAAAGACTCGTGTTGTTGATAAATTGGCAGTGTGACTGTTGGTATTACACAGTCCCAAAATAACCAAAAAGCAACAAGAACAAAATGAACACGAGAGATTTTTTGCCCGAAAGCCCGGATGTTCACCAAGAATCTGGCTACTCACCCGTTGAGCATTCGCCTAAGTGAATAGCATTATAATCTACTAGAATCAACAAAGTTTATCAAATACAAGAATTAGAGAACTTGAATCAACCCTTAGCCTTAACTCTCCTTTTTTCCCCTTTTACAAATTACACCAAGTAACCAAGAACTTCTGCTCACCAACAATAAGAAGTAAATGCATACCAGAAACTATAATCTACACTAGATATCACCAAGATCATCTACTCTCAAAGATTACAGATTGAAAACCAAATGTTTCCGCAAGAGAGAAAATACAGACTATATCGAAGGAGAGAACCCTAGAATAAAGAGAATGAATAGTCCACCAGTAATAGAAGGAGTCTGGAGATTTAAACAGTCATCATGCATCCAATTGTTGTGCCAACACCACGTGTCACAATCTTAGCCCTTTGTTTCAACAACCAAAGTCGTGTTATAAAGTGCGAGAATGTACAGTAAGTTGGCTACTCGGATCACTCTCATCAAAGGCAATTGGGCTGAACATATCTGGGCTGCAACACTTAGATGTTAAGCACACATTTAACAATCTCCACCTTTCTTGACATCATCAGGTTTCATGTGGATTAGAGGTTAACACTTCAGTTTCATTTGCTCGGGTACCTGCAAGAATATTAGTTGAAAATAACATTTAGGAGATTTAAACAATCCTTAAATTTTTGTGAAGGAAGTACTTTAGTTCCCATATATCCTGGATTACATTTAGTAGAAATTTTTGCAATTTTTTTAATTTTTTTTTCTATGATATCTCTTCTAAAATGAAATTTAACATCTATATGTTTTGTCCTATCATGAAAAACAGGATTTCTACTAAGTTGTATAGCAGATTGGCTATCTGAAAATACAGTAGCATTATTACCAGAGAAACCAATTTCATCCAACAAATTTTTCAACCAATACTTTCCTTCACAGCATCTGTAGCTGCAATATACTCAGCCTCTATGGAAGAGAGAGCAACTATTTTTTGTAGCTGTGATTTCCAACTTATACATGTATTATTAACAGTAAAAACATATGTCAAAGTAGATTTTCTATTGTCACAATTACCAGTAAAATCAGAATCAACAAAACCTTTAAGTTGGATGCCAGTTTCATTTTTGCAGAACATCAAACCTAAATTTGAAGTTCCTTTTAAGTATCTCAACAACCCTTTCAATGCTTCCCAATGATATTCACCAGGATTACTCATATATCTACTTAAAGTACTTATGGCAAAAGCAAGATCAGGTCTAGTGCTGTCCATTACATACATAACTGAACCAATGACATTTGCATAAGGGACCTTATCCATTCTACTTCTTTCTATTTCAGATTTGGGACATTGTTCCATAGAGAATTTAAAGTGTTTGGCAAGAGATAATGTTACATCTTTAGCCTCATTCATAGAAAATCTAGTCAACATTTTAAAAATGTATGGCTGTTGATTGAGAAACAGTGTGTGATCAGATCTGCTCCTAATTTCAATTCCTAAAATTCTTTTTGCAGTACCTAGGTCCTTCATTTCAAATTTTTGATTCAGATTTTGCTTAATGTTATTAATTTCAGTAACATCACAGCCAGCAAGCAACATATCATCAACATAAAGTAAGAGATAATAAGAATTTGGACCTAATTTCCCTTTATAGTAAAAATATGGATCATATTCACTTCTATTAAAATTAAGACTTTTTATAAAAGTGTCAAATCTGATGTACCGTTGTCGAGATAATTGTTTTAAACCATAAAATGATTTTTTTAGAAAACACACACAACTTTCTTTACCTTTTTGTTAAAAACCTTTAGGTTGGACTATATAAATTTTTTCATCTAAATTTCCATGTAAAAAAGATAGTTTTCACATCTAATTGTTCCAATTCAAAATCAAATTGAGAAACAATAGATAGTAAAATTCTTATGGAGGTATACTTGACTACCGGAGAAAATTTTTCATTATAGTCAATTCCCTCCCTTTGGTTAAATCCCTTAACAACCAACTTGGCCTTGAACCTTACATTCCCATCCTTAGGGTCACCTTCCTTAATCTTATATATCCATTTACTGTCAATAACTTTTACTCCTTTTGGTTTTTAACTAAGACCCAAGTTTTGTCTTTCTCCAAAGACAACATTTCATCTTTCATGGCTTCAAGTCACATGTTAGCATTTTTTCATTCAACAGCCTCTTCATAAGAGGTATGCTCACTTTTCCAAAAAAATTGAATGTTAAGAGCAGTGATAAAATGAGGTCCACTGTATCTTACAGGTGGCCTAATTTCCCTTCTAGTTCGATCTCTAGTCAAATGATAGTCTTCTAAGGGATTTATGTGATGATCAGGTTCAGTTTTAAAGTCAGGATCAGTAGCCTCATGTTCAGGTTCATGCTCCACCACAAACTGATCTTCATTTCCAGTGTTGAAATCAGCTGGAAGAAATTCTGTTTGAATAGTGTTTATATTATGATCAGTTTCAGTTGGAGCAACATCTTTTCCTTTAATGCAAGGCATGTCTAACTCATTAAAGACAACATTTCTACTTATAGTGACTTTATAACCTCCCTGATCCCTTAGCCAGACTCTATAGCCTTTGACTCCTTCACCATACCCAAAAGAAAACACCTTTTATGGACCTTGGCTCCAATTTCCCTTCATTTTGATATACATAGGCAGCGCATCCAAAAATTTTGACCATTCCAAACCTGGTCAAGAGAGTCATAATTCAGGGATTTTGTAGGACATTTATTTATAAGATATGATGCAGTTTTGACAAATTCTCCTGGAACAATTTTGGAATGCCCAATTAACATGCACCTAACTCTCTCTAAAAGAGTCATATTCATCCATTCAGCAAGACCATTCTGTTGTGGGGTACAGGTGACAGTCCTATGTCTAAGGATCCCATTATTTTTGCAAAAATTGTCAAACTCCTCATTGCAAAATTCAAGGCCATTGTCAGTTCTAAGAGCTTTAACCTTTCTTAATTACTTGATTTTCAACAAGAGTTTTTCAAGCAACAAAGTTTTGAAAAGTATCAGATTTATTTTTCAAAAGTATAACCCAACTTTTCCTAGACAAATCATCAACAATTAGGAGATAAATTTAAAACCAGAATAAGTACTCACAGAAGCTAGTCCCCACAGATCAGCATGCAGGTAATCATGTATAGATTTTGATTTATGTGTACCTGTAGCAAAAGACAATTTCTTTTGCTTTCCATATATGCAGTGTTCACAAAAGGATACCTTTTCAACCTTTTCATTTCCTAAAAGTCTTTGTTTTTTAAGAATATACAGATTCTTATCACTGATGTGTACTAGCCTTTTATGCCATATTTTAGATTTATCATGACATTGGCAGCAATGGATTGATTCTTCTGATGTAAAAATTTCAAAATATAGATCCCATTTGATTTTTCAACTTAAAGAAGTTTTGCAAAATTCTTTTGGAGTATCAAAGTACCTTTATTAATTGTTGTGTTAAAACTTTCATCATCAAGCGTACCTAAAGAGATTAATTTTCTCTTTAAGCTGAAAATGTATCAGGTCTTGTTCCGAACCAGTTCATTCCCATTGTTTAGTTTCAAAACAATCTTACCAATTCCTTTAATTTTGCAAGAAAAATCATTTCCCATTATTACTTGTCCTCCATTGGTCTCTAAGAATTCAGCGAAGTACTTCTTACATGGGGTCATATGAAAAGTACACCCTGAATCTAAGATCAATTCATCTTCAAAAGATGATTGAAATGTCACATATACTTGTCCATTTATGGCTGCAGCTTCACCCTCAACTTTATTATAGTTTTTCAGTTCATCCATTCTCTTGATACAGTCTTTTATATAATGACTCATTTTACCATAGAAATAACATCTTTTTCCTTTAGCCTTACTATCAAACTTAATTTACCTTTTCCTTTTGAGA